TAGGGGCACTTACCTATCCGAGGTGGTGATGGATGCAGCGCTGGCATTCAAGAAAGTGGGTGAAGGCCTTAAGGGGCGAGTGCCACCGGCAACAGGACAGGGCCTCGCCTTAGGGCGAGAGAGCTCCCAACCAAGCCATGGCACCAATGAAGGACGATGGCTCCAGTGAGACTCAACGCCCTTTGAAGCCAAGAGATTTATTAGAGCAGTGGCTACAGAGAGAGGGAAGAAGGTCTGTAACTGCCTGGTAGGGAAGGGGGAGTGAGAGAGAGTGAGGACGAGAGAGGTCTGTATTTATCCATTTGGGAGGGGGTGGCCCATGCTCTATCGGAGCCTGGCGGTGCTGGCCAGTGCCATCTTAGGGTCTTTATTGGAGGGAGCTATGAGGTAGTATTCCTATAGGGAGATAATATTTGTGTACAGGTTTAAGTTTCGCGCGAGGGAAGAGCAGGAGCTTAGGGCCTTTGTTGTCTTTGTTTGGTTCCATATGGTGTTTTAGCGCCATCTCGGGAGACTCCCTTCTGACTGTTCCCTGTGTCTTTCAGTGGCTGTACTATTTTACATTTCCATCAGCATTATCTGTTAGTGATCCAATTTCTCTACATCCTCGTCAGCATTTAGTGTTGTCCCTGTATTTTCATTTTTACATCCAGCCATTCTGATAGGTGGGAAGTGACATCCCATTGGGGTTTTAATGTGCATTTGCTTAACGACTCCTGATGTTATGCAGCGTTTCATGCACTTATGTGCCATCTGTAGATTCTCTTCTGGAAAACGTCTGCTCATGGCGGTCTCCATTTTCTCATTGGATGCCGTTGAGTTGGAAGACCTCTTTCTATACTCTAGGAACTAGCACTTTGTCAAAGATGCTTTACAGATATTGTCTCCCCATCTGTAGTCTGTCTTCTCATCAGCTTTACCAGGTCCCTCAGAGTGAGAGGTTTTCATTTTCATAACGTCCAGTTTATGAAATTTCCCTTTTATGGATGGGGCTTGTGGTGTTAAGTCTAATAACTTTTGGTCTCGCCCTAGATCCAGAATACTTTTTTCTAAAAGTTTTATAATTTTACATGTTACATTTAAGTTCATGATTTCTTTTGAGTTAATTCTTATATAAGGGTGAGGTTTAAGAAACCTATTCACTTAGGAATCTTTTTTAAAGTTTATAAACCTTGCAGTCACTTTTTGGAATAGTTGTTATGATTATCATCTCATTTGAAAGATGGGAAATTCAAACAGACTTGGTAACATGACCAAGGTCAAACAACTACTGAGTGGTAGGAAAAAACCCAGTTTGAATGCAAGTCTGATGGCTCATGCACCCTTGAATTTAACTGTGCTCCTATTGTCTGGTTCTATCCCTTTCTGTCTGGGAGTCTTGCTTCTTGAGCAGATATTTCAGTTTCCTGTATCCGTTCTCGCACCCTGACCAATACAACCTCACTTCAATACATAGGATACCAGAGGTTCGAGCCTGCCAAAACCTGTCCAGATGTCCTCTGTGACATGTTTGCAGGGTGGAGAATAGGGGCAGATCGGGGAACTTCCCTGTATGCAAATAACTTGTCATTCTGGTTGGGGAAGGGCTCACATGGGATTTCAGCATCTTCCAGATTATTGTGAAGTTGCTCCATCAGCTCCCTGGCTGGGAATGACAGCTGAAAAGTTTAGGTTCTCCAGAGACAATCACACACACATCCAAAAGTCACTTAATAATTCCAAGTCCAGGACATTTCCATCCTCAATCTGCCAAAATAAAATACACCAATAGAGTTCAATAGAAAGGACTCCAAGCATCTGGGGGTTAAAACCCCTATGGTTGAAATGTGTTTCTTGCCCCTTCTGGTGGCCATGGCTCATAGTTGGACTAAAACTACCTCAATATCCCTTCTCATTTGAGGGGAGGTGTGGGCAGTTACAGGTGGGGCTTTTCCGGCCAGCTCTCTCCTCTCTACACACTGGCTGCAGACTTCTCCACCAGGTATGATCTAGAAACTTCTGTACCAAGACCACTGGAAAGAGATCAGCAGCCTCTAAGTTAACCTTGCTCTTCCCAAATCTCTAAACCTCACCCCACTTATTAAGGAGGGACCCAGAGATTCTTTGTCTCAGTGATCCTATACTCAGAAGGGGTCCCTTCTCTTATATTGTCTCCCAGAGCTTGTCCAAACACTCCTAGACTTTTATCCTGGCCCACTTTTGGGAGATTAGAAGGAGCAGCAAAAACCCAGTCTAATGATGCATCGTTTGGGTAAACGCATATGTCTATTTTGCCTGACTCCTCAGAAGTCCCAGAGGTGCCTGAACCCACAGCTCAGCTGTTTCAACAGGTGGATCAACAGGAACACACCTTGGCTCCGGCATGTCTCTCCATATCCACCCTGTGGGAAATTCGCAGAGGTGTTTTATCTGGGATCCTGGCTGCCTGCCTTGAGCCCTAGGGGTCCCCTCCTCCAGAGCTGATGCATCTTCAACATTCCTGTGACAGCCTCTGCAGACAGCCAATGGCAGCTTCTGGTGTCCTGCCCTCCCTGGAGAGCCACTTTGGGTGTAACTGGGCCAGAAAGAACTGCTGAACGGATTCAGACTGTTCACCCCTGGCATTTCCTCTGGGAGTCTTACTGAATGTCAGAGATCTGGGCCCAAGTCAAACTTCCTCAGGGCCAGGAGGCTATTCACCTTCTCATCCTCCATGTTAACCCACCCAGAAGACCGCGCAAGGCCTCTTCTTGTCCTCCCGGTCTCTCTGACAATAACATCCGTATTGTCTTCCAAGCTTCCCTGGGGGGAGACTTTGAAACTTGTGGGGTGGAGTTTGCTGGCAGGGCTGCTCCAGGAGCAATAAGTTTTACCATCTCCTGCCTTTTCCAAACAAAGCAAGGGGCCTCTCTCTGGCACTGTCTTTGGGGTATGCAGGGTCCATCACCTCCAGCCACTTCCAGGGAGGTAGACTCTTTCCCCCATATTCATAAAAGGCTATAACCTGCTCCTCCCATGTCCAACCTATTTCCATAGGAACCAAGAGGCTGGGGTTTGAATGTCAACTACCCCTTACTAGTTCTGTGGCCACTGACTACTTACTGTCTTCAAGCTAATTCCCTCATTTGCAAATAGAGAGAAGTTGGCCCCATAATATTGCTTTGGGCTAAAACAAGATACTATCTGTAAAATTCATGCAGTAAGTAAAGTAGCTACTGATCCTGGAACAAAGTTAATGTTCAATTAATAGTGGCTCAGGGATCCCTGTGACAAATGCCTCCAGGCCCAATCTTCGGTTCTAAATCTGCTTGCCAGAATTGGGCCTAGAAGTTTCATGTAAGTTGTTATGGAAGGACTGAGTTCTCCATCTTTCATCAGGAGTCTTTTGTTCACCTGTCATGTCTATGGTGTTGCCTGGGTGTCTGGCCGGTCTGTGGCATGGATAAAGGGCTCTCCAGATTTGGGTCAAAGGCAAGGCATTTCATCCTCTGGCAGGGTAGGCTCCTCAAACTTGAGGATGGTCACTCTGTACATTCCCTGTGGACTTCAGCCCACCTGCCCAGCTGTAGGGGAGAAGCGGCTGACCCCACTGCCTTGCTGTAGTTTTCCCAGCTGCACCTGCCTCTGGGCCATTACTTGGTCAAGGTCTCAGGGAAGGACCATCTGTTTAGGCACGTGGAATTTGCTCTGCTCTGAGTGTCTCCGAGGTAAGAGGACCATCCCATAGACCCAGGACCCAGAGAAACTTCCAGGCTTGGCACCGGAAAGCCTTCCTCTCTTCTCGCTTGCAGCCCCAGTCATGGATCCAGGTAGCACCCACAGTGGATGCCAGGAAATAGGAAGGAACAGATAGCGCAGAGAAAGAATGCCAACATGTTGCCACTGCTTCTCTGGGCGCCCACGCTCCCACCAGGACAGCTTTCCGTCTATCCAGCAGCCAGGTGTGCCTCTTCAGGTTCCTTTTTCTCCCCTTCTATCCCAAATCTCTGTCCTCAACCCTCAGGTTAGATTCCTCGACAGCCCCAGGCTGCTGTGCTCTCACCTCCGCTCAGCCTGCCCTCCTTCCAGCAAAGGAGGCCCTGGTACCGCTGGTGCTTCCTCTGGTCCCTGGCAACAAGCCTCTCCTAGTAACAAAGGGCCAAGGAAAGGAGTCCACTTCCCCCGTAGCCACCACCAGGCAGGCGGTCCATCCCACTGAGGTCACAGCTGAGAGCAGTTCCAGGGAGGGGAGCTCCCTGCAGTTGCCCACCCCACTCTGTCCCTGAAGACCCCGCCCCAGTGACCTTTAGCACACCAAGATGGCTAACGAGCAAGCAAACAAAATCCAACACTGACAAGGAAGCATTAAACCAGCCCATCTAAGAGATTCAGTCCAGAAAATCCCCATTCAAATGTTCCGAACCCCAACCTTGCTGGGGAGGGCCAGGGATCCCTGCACCAGACGCCAAAGGGAACTGAGCTCTTCATAAACCCTTCTACCTAGGAGCTGCACGAATACATAGACTGACTTCCACTCGGGTTCATCATAACTGGGCCTGGTTACAGTGGGGCCAGCTTTCCTGGCTGGACTTCGCCCAGCCTGGGGACACCTTTCTTTCCCGGCAACCTTCCCTAGCTCAAGGGGTGAGAACAGGGAAAAACCAGAGGTTGAGACCCAGCAAAGATGTGGCTGTTTCCCAGGGACATATCCCTCCCTCTTCCCAGGCCCAAGTCGCTGGAACCGCAGGGCTCCGGGCGGGGATTTCCCCGCCCTAGCAGGGCAGGCTCGTTCCTCGAAGGGCGGGGAAGGAGGGAGGGCCGGCGAGACGTGCTCCCCCTCGCCAGGGAGCAGGAAGCCGCGGCTCCATCCCGGCTGCAGCCCGAGAGGGGAGCGGACGCGGGGAAGAGCCGGGGGCCGCGCCGACCCCATGGCCGCCGACCCCCCTGCGCAGCGGCTGGGCGGCCTCGCCGTCTTCACCCGCGAGGACTTCGAGGACCCCTGGCGCCGAGTGGCCAGCGGCGGCTTCGGACAGGTGTTCCAGGCGCGACACAAGCGCTGGAGGACCGAGTACGCCATCAAGTGCGCCCCTGGCCTCCCCCCGGACGCCACCAGGTACCTGCCTGCCCTGCCCCTCTCTTGGAGGGGAACCCAGACGAGCTTTTGGCCCGGTGAGCTTTCGAGGGAGGGGTCGACTGAGGCTGGGGCTTAGGATCGTCCCCTCAGCGTTTCTGAAGTCTACCCAGTGGCCTGAGTTTCCCAGGCTCAACCCTATGTGTCTCGTTCCTGAAACAGAGTCGGCACACCTGTTCGTGGAACCAACCGAGGTCAAACGTGCACTGCACGGGAACTACCCTCCATAGATGCCTTTGTCTTGGCTGGGCGTGGTGGTGGCTCTTGCCTGTAATCCCAGCACTTTGGGAGGCCAAGTCGGGAGGGTTGTTTGAGGCCAGAGGTTCAAGACTAGCCTGGGCAACATAGCGAGACCCCCGTCTCAAAAAATAAAATAGCGAAGAGGCGTTTGTCCCATCTGACCTTCCAGACGTGTATTGCCTCTTTCTTTCCAGCACCTCCTTCCTACTGAGTGCCCCGGTGGTAATGACTACTGTCCACTGTCCTCTGACTCCCTCCTCCTTACTCCAAACTCTCAAAGCAAGGCTGGACTTCCTGAGAGGCAGTGGCACTTGACTCGGTGATCTGTAGGGAACCACGTTCTCATCATGGCCATCTGGGGTGGCCCTGCCCTGCCAGTTCAGGCTGGGAGGGTGGGGGCTTGGGAGACAGAAACCTATTCAGGCCACCGAAGGGTCAGGTCTGGAATTCGTGATCTCTGTTTTTGCTTTTGTCCCTGACTGTCGTCACGTGCACTACAGCCTCGCTTTGGTGCACCTCCCTCTTTCTCCTCCTTCCTCTCTCCCACGGTGTCCACTCATCTCTGTCTTCCCATTGGGTGGGGCCCCAGTCTCATTACACATATTGGCATGCACTAGCTGTGTGCTCACCCCTTGCGGCCATGGAGGCCGTCGGGTTAAATCTGAACATGTTAACCATGTCCTCCTCCCCAGGCTCCCAGGACATCAAACAGAGAGGCTGGGGTGGGGTATCTCCTACTATTTGTCATGGTCTCTATGGTCACCATGCACACTCAAGACACAGCCTCAGGCCCTATATATTCAAACCAGTCTTTTCTCCCATTCGCGGGTCCTCAACCACTTCCTGAAGAGGGGGACAGTGAGCTAACCTGGGGCCCTCAACATCTGCCTGTTGGCTTTGGAATATGATCAGATTATTATAGGATTTGTCCAAATCACTTATAGCCTTTGGAATAAAGAATAAAAGGAAACAAATGGTGTTGACAAGACTCTACAGCTAGACGTTGATGGAAACTCCCACCACTTTCCCTTCCCAAGTTCTGGGGATTCCTTGGGTGGGCATGGCACGGAATTGATGATAGTGAATGCCTGCTCTGTGTGAGTACCATGCTAGGAGCTTCACATGTGTTACTTCACTGAATCCTCCTTTCGCTTATCCATTCCTTCGTCCACTTGACACATACATATTTCTCTCTTACTGTGTGTCAGGCTCTGTGTTACACCCTGGGATGTGATAATGATTGCAGCAGGTGTGTCCCTGCTCTCCTGGAGCTTGCAGCCTACTGGGAGAAAGACATTTACAGCAATCAAATGCAAATATGCTACTGTGAGAAGTGCAGGGAAGGAGAGATGTATGGTTTATGTGACTTTAGAGAGAGTTTGTGACCAGAAAGGGTTTCCCCAGGAAGTTACACTACAGCTGACATGTGAGGAACGAATGTGTTAAGTAGGTGAGGAACATTTCCCAGGAACAGACAACAGAGTGTGCAAAGGACCTGTGGCAGGAGTTAAGTACAAAAAAAAAATGGAATAAAGTCCATTGCGACTGGAATTGAGAGAGTGACGGAGCAGTGAAAAGCCACCGAGGGTTTACAACCAGGTATGAGTGGTAGCAGTGGGAAGAATCAATCAGATCTGCAGTGCAGAGAATGGACTGGAAGGTGTAGGGTGGATGCTGGTTCAGTTGGGAGATTTGTTTTCATCCGGACAAGCGGTGATTGGGGTCTAGACCAACGTGTTGGTGGTGGAGTTAGAGAGAAAGGAATGGATTCAGCCATACTTAGGAGGGAACAATTCACCCACCTTGATGCTGGATTGGCTAGGGGGTCACAAAGGGAAAGAGGAGTGTTAGGGTTAAGTCCATGTCTGGTTTGCCTGAAGGAGTGGAGGGTCTGTTCGAATGTCCATTCCACGTGTCTGTTTTGTTCACGTCTCTGTCTCCAGTGCCTAACACAAGGTTATTGTTCAGTACACATTTGTTGAATGGTGGTATTGGCCATTAATACAAAGAACATGAAAGAAGATCCAGGTTTGGAGAGGAAGATCATTCATTTGGTTTTGTACGTGTTGAGATCAAGTGTCTCTAAACAGCCAACAAGAGTTATCAAGTGAACTCCAGAGTAAAGGTTGGATCTAACATTATTAAAACCTGTGAGTCATTTGTTGCAGATGGTGGTTGGAGCCAGGGCATGGATGAGATTCGTTCATTCTAAGCACTAAGTGAACAAAATAAAGCCCCAGACCTCAGAATACTTATAACCTAATGGAGAAAGACATAAAATAAATAAATGATAAAATGTTTCATTATAGCATTTATGACCACCCAATGTTTTCTTGATTAAAATATGTAAAATATCATCTGATTTTCCAAGAAAAGCCTTGGTCTAAAAATAATAATGTGTGGGCCATCTGTGTATGGGGCGGTGGGGGGGATTGTCAGAGTAGGGTGGGGTTGTTATTTTATATAGACTTTTCTGTGAAATCCATACGAATCAGTAAGGATTTGAAGTAAATGAAGGAGGAATCCATGCAGCTCTATGAGGGATTCGTGTTCTAGGTAGAGGGAACAGCAGGTGCAAAGTCCTGAGATGAGATACACTGAGCAGAGTGGAGGAACAGCAAGAGGTTCGTGTGATAGGAGCACAGTGAGGAAGGAGTGATTAGTAGGAGATGAAGTCAACAAACTCTGTCTGGGGGTGGGGATGGACCTTGTAGGACTTTTCAACCATGTAAGAACCTTGGTGTTTCCTGTGAATGACAAGAGTCATGGGAGAGTCCTGGTCAGGGCAGCGACATGCTCTGACTTGGACTTTAAAAGTATCTCTCTGGCTTTCTGGGTATATATTTTGGAGGGGAAGAGGAATCGGTGAAGAGGCCAATGAAGTGACTTGAGCAAGATGCAAATGGGCCGAGATGGTGAGACGCAGTCAGCTTCCTGCTCTATAATATTTTGAAGTTGCAACTGTCAGGATTTGCTGATGGACTGGCAGTGGGGAGTGAGAAGAAGAAAAGAGGCACAGATGACACCAAGGTCCCTGTCTGAGATGGGTAGAGGCTCCATTCACTGAAATGAGGAAAGCTGAGGGAGGAGCAAGTTTTTAGGAGAGATTCGGACACATTTAGTATTGAATATCCAATCAGAGATGTTGAGATTGACTGGAGAAAGAGTATGGAGGGAGAGGTGGAGGGGAGAGTGGCGAGGACCCAGCCTGCAGTCAAGTAACACAATATGAGCTTGCAAAGGCAATGGAGAAGTGACCAGGAAGAGAGGAAGAAATCCAGAAGCATGTTGACACATCGCAGACGTACAGAAGTCAGAGATCTGAACTGTGAACTGCGGACTGGAAATTGTTCATGGGTTATAGCAACATGGAGGTCGTTGGCAGCCTTGGCAACAGCTGGGCAGTGAAGCGCGGACCCCAGAAACTAGATGCAGCTGGAGGGAGATGAGGAAGAGAAGACAGCCGTTCATGCTCTCAAGAAGTCTGAGTGTGATATGGGTTTGTGCAAGACAGCCACTATTATTCAGTATATACCACTATATCAATAATACACACTACTATTGATACTTTAGAAACCGAGGTCCAGAGACTCATTTGCCCAAGGACAGGCAGTTAACAAGTGGCAAAACTGGGATTTGAAATCAGGGCGTTGAGACCCCAGATCTCATGCTGTTCTGATGCCAGGGAGAGCGGGCGGCTTTTCCTGGAGGTCAAGTCTCTCTGGTTGGCTTCCCAGAGAGGTCCTGCGAGCACATTTCCTCCAGCTACCTCTGACTGCAGCACCAGCACCATTTTGCAAATACCATGGCTTCAAAAATGTCATTTCTCCTGAATCCCCATCTCCGTGATCCCTAAACAATCTCTAACAATTTGCATATTTACTGTTCTCTGGGCCCATACAGTGAAATGAGCCAGAGGGTTTGCAAACGGTTCTTTTGTAAGGCATTCCTTGGGTCTTGATTTCTAGTCCGTTCAACAAAGACGTATTGTGCGGGGCCTGGCGAGATGCTGAGAGCGTGGCGGACACAAGGATGAATGATTGCAGATCATCCATGAAATGGAACCCTGTGCAGCCACTGTAGCCCGTGACAGTGTGAAAAGTGCCCGCGCTCCATGTACCCTGTGACCCAAAGAGAAAGAGGAGGAGAAGGAAGCGAAAGGGAGGGAGAAAGGGAAAGAGACACCTGAACACATATCCTGAAAGAATATACCAAAATACCAACCGAGGCCCACTTCAGAAGGTTGGATTACCAGTGATTTATTTTTATTTTTTTTATAGCTCTCTGTAGTTTCTAGATTTTCTACAAGGTCCGTGTGTTCTTTTCATGATTAAAACAGCAATAAGCAATATTTTAAGACAGAAGCATGAGACATAATTATGGGTCCTCCAGGGACTTGAAATCTACTGGGGGCAACAACCATTGAGATGAATAGCTGAGATATGTGGCAAACTGTGATGTGGGATTTTTTGTGGCCACCTCTGTAGAATGGACTGGTGTCTGAGCCTGCGACTCCTTGACGTCCTGGCTTGGGGCTGCTGGCCACCTGAACTTTCATCAGAGCTGTCTGCTGGGCATCACTTCATGTCTCTCCTTCCTTCTCCTCTAGCTTGCAAGCTCCTAAGGCTCCTCTGGGTCCCCACAGTCCGGCATCATTGATAGGTCACCCTCTTCTACCTCTTGCTCCCCCTCTCCATAGCTTGGATGTGAACTGCCTCATTGAAGAAGCGGCCAAAATGGAGAAGATCAAGTTTCAGCACATCGTGTCCATCTACGGGGTATGCAGGCAGCCCCTGGGCATTGTGATGGAGTTCATGGCCAACGGCTCCCTGGAGAAGATACTGCCCACCCACAGCCTCTCCTGGCAGCTCAAGATCCGCATCATCCACGAGACCAGCTTGGCCATGAACTTCCTGCACAGCATTAAGCCACCTCTGCTCCACATGGACCTCAAGCCAGGCAACATCCTCCTGGATGGCAACATGCATGTCAAGGTGAGGGACCTGGTCGATCCCTTGACTCCATTTCTCCTCCAGGTAAGGAGAAATGACTGACTGGCTGGCCTGTCAACAATTTTAATGGACAAATTCTGAAGGCCGGGATCACAACTAAACAGATGGCTAAGTAGCAAACTTTGGTACATAAGGTTGGGTACGAGGATGCCCATATTAGTCCTATTTGAGTCTCAATTTCCCGTTTCTAAAATGGGTTGAATAATTGCTATCCCTCCCATTTTTTGCTTTGGGTGGGGATGTATGTAAATGAGATGATCCCTAGGATAGGTTACAATGGCCATTTGTCTCAGTTCCTAAAACATGTCACTCTCTTTTCTGCTCTGGGACCTTGACACATTCTATTTCCCTACTTCCCTCTATTTATCTTGCAAAGGTCTACTCATCTTTCAGCTCTTGGCTTAAAGATCACCTCCTCAGAGAGGTCTTCCTGATCCATCCCAAAGGTCTCCTGTTGTATACCTCCATTATGCCTCTGTTTCTTCATATGGCTACCCCCAATTGTAAATATGCAATGATTTGTAGAACTTCTTCATTAATGACTGTATCCTTAGCTTGAATAAGCATTTATGAGGGCACGGAATGTTGGGGGTGTCTCATTTTTCTTACATGCTGCCTGTTTCAGTCCACAACCCACTGGCTCTCAATGAATGGCTACTTGGCAAGTGAATGACTCAATGGACGGAAGCGGGGGGGGGTCAATGTACATGGTAGATTTATCAGTGTTTTAGGGCCTGTGGAGGTGGGGTGAACAACTCACTGAAGATGCCAACTTCATCCATAGTCTCGGCAGCACCTACCAAGTATTTACTACGTGCCAGGCACTAAGTGCTTTCTGCATGTCTCCTCCTTTAGTTCTCATAATAGCATTTTGAGTTAAGAACTCAGATTATTTCCATTTTACAGATGAGGAGACTGCGGCTCTGAGGAGATAAGTAACTTGTCCAAGATCACGCAGGTAGTCAGTGGTAGAGCTGGGAGACAGTGTTGAAGATCACTGCACTATCCTGGAACGGATAAGAGCAGGACTGGTGAGAAAGCAAAGCTGTTTATGGGATGCAAGACTCTGTTGCAACCCTATGCCTTGCCCCTGGCTTTCTCACAGATTTCAGACTTCGGCCTGTCCAAGTGGATGGAACAGTCCACCCGGATGCAGTACATCGAGAGGTCAGCTCTGCGGGGCACGCTCAGCTATATCCCCCCTGAGATGTTCCTGGAGAGTAACAAGGCCTCAGGGCCCAAATATGACGTGTACAGGTGAGCGGGAGGCGGGGCTCCATGCCATACCTCCAGGAGGCAGCTGGATGCCAACACCCTGCCTGGCCCCTGTGGTCCAACGGGCAGAGCAGGGATGAGGTCCAGCCTCTCCCTGCCCAGATGGGAGGAGGAGGGCTAGGGAGAACTCTGGCCAGAGAGGCCTGCCTGGGATTGTGTGCTCTCTAGGGCCCCCTGGCTGGGGTGATGGTGAATATCCCAAGTCACTCAGGGAGTGTTTTCCCCCTTCCACAGCTTCGGGATTGTCATCTGGGAGCTCCTCACTCAGAAGAAACCGTATTCAGGTAGCAGGCAGCTGTGGCTCTTTTGGGGGCACAGGGCGGGTCCCCAGATGGTCCTGGAAGGAGCCGTGGGAGGGCTGGGGTTATCAGATGGTTCCTGGAAGTGGCCACGGGAGGGCTGGGGTTATTGGCGTGGGGTCCTGGAAGTGGCCGTGGGAGGTCTGGGGTCCTGGAAAGGGCACGGAAGGCCTGGGGTTACCAGATGAGGTCCTGGAAGGTGCCGTGGGAGGTCTAGGGTTAGAGAAGGAACATGAGTGGCAGGTGTACAGGGACCACATTCTCTCCAGGGGTTCCTAGTCTCACCTTCCTTCCTCCCAGACTCTATATTCTATTTTTTTCTTTCTTTTTTGTCTAAAGAAAGTTGTTAAGGCTAGTCAAATGAAGCAGTGGGAATGGAGAAGGAACAAAGATATCTGTAACAGGTTTTGACCAATTAATTGTCAACACCACTACCCTCGGATCAGTCATAGCCCTTATAGTCTAGAGCTCACGTCACAGTAAAAGGAAAGATGAAGTCAGTCAAGCCCCAGCTCGTGCTTTTTGGCTCCACCTGACTCCCTTATGCCCTCTCCTGCCCTCTCCCACACATCCTCCATCCCTGCCACCTAGATGCCAGGTAAATAGACTGGCAGGACACGTGGGTAACCTTGAGATGTTGAAAGTCAGAACCTTCACCTAGGCCTTGTCTGTCAGTCCTGCCACCTTTAGATGGCACCTGCCTGCAAGGTGGAGTCATGTCCGGTCCTGAGGTTGGAGAAGGCCTAGGGGGACTTGGCTGCTCAAATCGAAAACTTGTGGTTGGTCAAAAATCTACCTGTTGATTCACCAAGCATTTGTGGAGCCCCTGCTGCAAACATACCTTCTTGGGACCCTCAGAGCCCCTGCCCTCCCACCCAGCCCCCTTGCCCTGCCTCCCAGCACCTGCACAGCCTGGATCTCCCTCGCAGGGTTCAACATGATGACCATTATCATCCGAGTAGCCACGGGCATGCGGCCCTCCCTGCAGCCTATCTCCGACAAATGGCCAGGCGAGGCCCAGCAGGTGGTGGCCCTGATGAGGCGCTGCTGGGACCAGGACCCCAAGAAGAGGCCGTGCTTTCTAGGTGCTTATCCAGCCTCACCTGCCCAGGGACTGGGACATGGGCGGGGCCAGGAGGAGAGATGTTTAGACCCAGGTCACTCCTGGGAGCTATGCAGAGAGACACCTGCAGCACTAGGGCCTAGAAGGACTTTTTAAGGTGGAGTCTGCATCACAGGGCTGGGAGGATGGTATTGGGAGCCAGGAGCAGATGAGGACAGAGGTCTATATGTTCACGTGTGTCCCTGTGGGAGGTAGAGTAGAATGCCCCCAGCCAGACATGGTAGCTCACGCCTGTAATCCCATCCCTTTGAGAGGCTGAGGCGAGAGAATTGCTGGCACCCAGGAATTCGAGAAAACCCTGGTTGCCAGAAGGCAGACGCCATAGCATCTAGGCCTGGTCCTGCCACTGAGCTCTCCAGCCAGGCCCTGGTTCTTTCAGGGCTACAGTGTCCTCATTTGTAAAAAGTTTCCAGACCATGAGATCACAGGCCTGGAATGAACCGTGAGGTTACCCAGTCCTCCGGGACTATGAGAAAGCGGTCATGTAAGTAGGTGTGAGCATCTTGGAGACTGCTCGGCCCTGCCCCCTGGTTCCATGGAAAAGGACTCTGATAACCAGAAGCATCAGGGACTTACAGAGGTACTCCTCTGGGACCCAAGTTTCCTGCCTCCTGTGGATGTGTGTGGATGCGTGTGGACCCAGGAATGCATGTGCGGGGTGGCGGGGGCGGGGGAGCGGATTACAGGCAATGTTTGAGTATCTAAAACAGGAGAAGGTCAGCGGGCCAGCCTGTGGCTTCCTTTTCCCTCTCTCTCTCCCTCATGGAACAGACATCACAGTGGAGACAGACATGCTGTTGTCTCTGCCACAGAGTCCTGTGGCAGACCCCGAGAGCGAGATGCTGGCCAGGAAGGTGTCCTGCAAGCCATCCCTGCACAGGTCCTGGGAGGTGAGTACATGGGCTGGGCAGACCTGTCTGTCATGCTGTCCTGGAGCCTGCTGTGTAGACTGCAGTGGCCTCTGGCAGGACACTGAATATTCATGCACGGCCTGTGTCCTTCCCAAGGCTGCCTGGCTGAAGGAGAACGTGGGGGACTGAAAGCCAGCCCACACTCTGCTCACCAAGCCAGCCTGCCCAGCTCAGGCTTCCTCCACCCAGAGGGTGATGGCTTTTCCTAATTTGCATGAAAGTGCTTTAAGGGCTAGTGGTGGCCTAGCTCAGAGCCCCTGGGAAAGACATGCCTTCTCTTGTATGTGTGGGATCAAGAAGAGCCCTGTCCTGCATGGGGAAGCCTTGGTTATCGCAAGCTTTCGTGCTGTAGGCGTCAATAGCATCCCTTTCCTGTCCCTACCCTAACACGGAAACCAGCCATGGGCTGAACCCACAGATACGCCCTGTGGTCCACCTGGCCCAAGGGGAAGGCAAGGCCCTGGGCCTCTTCTTGCTGGAGGGTCTCTCCTGCTCAGCATGTTCCTCTAGAAACACTGGGGGTAGCAATGGCAAAGGAGTCGGGTCTCCAGGGACAGGGTAGGAAGTGAGTCCTAACAGGCGTCTGGGAGCAATGGAGGGAGGGAAGGAGGGGAGCATGGCACACACCGGAACTGCCCCACTGACCTGCCCTGGTTCTGCTTCCCCAGGTCAGTGAGGAAGTCAGCCAGGAGCTAACAGACAATGGTGAGCACAGGGGTCACTGGTGAGACTGGAGAACTCACAGCAGAGGAGAAAGTAGAATCAACACACCCTCTCCCCATCCCCCTCCTCCCCTCCTCCCCAGGAGTTTTGGGGTCCTTTCCTAGCACCCAGCCATGTGTTCCAGAAATGCACATGCCCCCAGGGGGCCTGACTCTGCCTCCCCTCCAGGTCTGTGTCTTTGCACCACCTGGTTCCCCCTTCCTGACCTAAGAGGTTCTCAAGGTTGGCTGCACCCTGGAATCATTTGAGAGACTTTTTTTTTTGTTAATACCTGGAGTTCATCCTAGACTAATTAAATCAGAACCCATAGGGACTGGCCTGGGCAATAATCATTGCTGTTGTTTTTAATACTAATACTCCACTGGACAGATCAGGAGGAAGTGAATCCTTAAGACCTCAGGGAGAATTTTTAGATCATCGAACTCCAACCACTTGCATTTACCCCACCTCATCCCAGGCCCTCCTCCAAAAGCGCTCACCTACAGGATCTGTCCTCATGGTGGTGGAATGAGTTCAGCATTGCTCGGCTCCCTTTGCTGATCCAGGAGCTCAAAGAGGCAGAGAATTGGCTAAGGTCAAGGACACAGAAGCAGGATTTGCACCCAGACCTCCAGAGTCCATGCTCAGGACATATAGGATTCAGCTTCCAAGCTTCTGAAGCTGAACTGGAGTCCTGACAGTCATAACCGTGTAGAGAGCCATGCTATCAGGAAAGCCACTGCCCTTACCCTCTAGTCTCTGCTTCAGGAGGCAGGGGGATGGCCGAGATGACCTTCAGACAGGCCACAGGTCTTTTTTTTTCCCAACCCCACCTTCCTCCCAGCAGACTCCGGAGGGTACTCAAAGAGGGTCCTGGAGCTCTCCGACAGTGAGAGCTCCGTCCCGAGCGATCAGGAGCTGTGCGTCTACGAGAACAAGGTCACTCCCCTGCACTTCCTGGTGGCCCAGGGCAGCATGGAGCAGGTGAAACTGCTGCTGGCCCACGAGGTAGATGTGGACTGCCAGACGGCCTCTGGCTACACGCCTCTCCTCATCGCTGCCCAGGACCAGCAGCCCGACCTCTGTGCCCTGCTTTTAGCTCACGGTGCTGATGCCAACCTGGCAGACGAGGACGGCTGGGCGCCGCTGCACTTTGCAGCCCAGAATGGGGACGACCACACCGCGCGCCTGCTCTTGGACCACGGGGCCCATGTGGACACCCAGGAGCACGAGGGCTGGACCCCGCTTCACCTGGCTGCACAGAACAACTTTGAGAATGTGGCTCGGCTTCTGGTCTCCCGTCAAGCGGACCCCAACGTGCGTGATACCGAGGGCAAGACCTCCCTCCATGTGGCTGCCTACTTTGGCCATATCAGCCTAGTCAAGCTACTGACAGGCCAGGGGGCTGACTTGGACGCTCAGCAGAGAAACCTGAGGACACCGCTGCACCTGGCGGCAGAGCGGGGCAAAGTGAGGGCCGTCCAACACCTGCTGAAGAGTGGGGCGGCCCCGGATATCCTTGACCAGAGTGGTTACGGCCCACTGCACACTGCGGCTGCCAGGGGCAAGTACCTTATCTGCAAGATGCTACTCAGGTATGGAGCCAGCCTCGAGCTGCCCACCCAGCAGGGCTGGACACCCCTGCATCTAGCAGCCTACAAGGGCCACCTGGAGATCATCCACCTGCTGACCGAGAGCCATGCAGACTTGGATGCTCTCGGGGGCATGGGCTGGACTCCCTTGCACCTAGCTGCCTGCCACAGAGAGGAGGTGGTGGTGTCGGCGCTGCTGCGGTGTGGGGCTGACCCCAATGTGGCCGAACAGTCAGGCTGGACACCCCTCCACCTGGCAGTCCAAAGGGGCGCCTTCCTGAGTGTCATCAGCCTCCTGGAGCACCGTGCAAATGTCTGCGCCCGCAACAAGGTGGGCTGGACACCTGCCCACCTAGCTGCCCTCAAGGGCAACACGGCCATCCTTAAAGTGTTGGTCAAGGCTGGTGCCCAACTGGATGTCCAAGATGGAGTGGGCTGCACGCCCCGGCAGCTGGCCCTCCATAGCCAGAAGCAGAGCATGCTGGCCTTCCTAGAGGGCAAGGAGCCCTCACTGGCCATTCTGGGTGGTGCTGAGCCAGAAGCCCAGACGGAAGTTTAGACAGCTTGATGTCTCCTCTTCTGGATAGAGGAATTGGTGCGCATGAAACCGGGCCTCTTCCCCATCTGCTCACTTGCCTCTTTCTCCTTGAGAGGAGACAGGAAACTGGTCTTCTGCGTGTTGGGGGAAGGGGAATAAGGGCTACTGGGCTGCAACTGGGGAAGGGGCCCCTGGCTTGGCCGCTTAGCACTTTCTCCAGGTCATCTCCAGCCGATCCTAGGCCTCCTCCTCCTCCTTTATGGGAACCCAAGCCCACGAGGAGTGTTCCCTCTCCAGTCCCAAGACTCCTGCCACCTCTAGCTACATGCTCAAGTCCACAGAGTCCTTGCTGCCTAAGAAATTCCCTCTGAGATCACAGGGAGGCATGGCAGTGAGGGAAGTGGATTCCTCCCAGCTCTTGTCTTGTGTTTGTGGCCTCTTACCTCAGGCTAGGGCAGAAGAGCCAGTCACATCTGCTCTGCTCAAGGGCTAGGAGCTAAATATTCAGAAGAAATTGCTGCTCACTATTTAAAATCCCAGCCAGTCTCCTGTCGGCACACTGAACACACCTTCCCGATGACCCTGGTTGTAATGCCTGGCTCTCCCTCACAGTCTCTTGGGAGAGAAGAGAGGGTGCACTCCAACTGTGGATGAATGATCCCGTGTGGAAACAAGATCACTGGTCCTCAGTTCTCCTGTCTTTGTGCCCAGTTACATGGTCAGGTTTCAAACCCAGAAGTCAATAAAGCCGTAAGTCTGAGTGTCTCCTTTAGAGACAGGTTGACCTATGGAACCAGGTTATGTATCAGGGCCAGCAGTGTTAGTGTGGTGTGCATGTGCATGTATGTGTGATTTGTCCGGTGTGTGTGTGCATAATCCGTGCACATAAGTTCACATGGGGTCAGGGAGGCAGTACAGCTGAGGGAAAGTGAGGTGGTAATGATGGTGAGGGGTGGGTTGTCTGGGTTCAGTACAGAGTTCAAGGGCGGGGACCTTTCTCAACAGCAGTGGCTCAGAGAGCTCAACTCCTGTAACCACACCCTGGCCACCTGCCAGCTAGGCTGTCCTGTCCTGCTGGTTGTGGGCAGGCTGGGGCAGGCCTGGAGTTGCTCATACTGACTTTGTGTGACTGGGACCTTGGTTCAGCGCCAGTGGGTTTCTAGGTAAGCAGCTGACTGTCGGGAGGGGGTGGGGGCAGGACAGGTGCCCTGGGGTCCTATCCTGCTCCCTCTGCCTTCCACACTGCTAGAAAACACAGCAAAAGTAGTCCCTCCAACTCAAGGATGTTTGTCAGAGAAAGGGGATTGTGGTCCCAACTACTATCCAGCTCTGATCCCTGAGCAGTTGGCATGCCTGCCTTTGCATGCCCTCCTCCAGGGCTGGGCACTCCAGGCTGGGCACAGGGCCACCAGCCAGCAGCCTCGTGTCAGCATGGGGTGAGAAAGGCGGGGTAGAGGAAACCTGTTGCCCCTCATCCAATCCTGATGAATGCTTGAGTCCCTTTTAGCAGAGCATCCTCCATCCTTCGGCCTCTGGACCGTGACTCCAGCCTGCTGGGCCCTGGACACTTTACCCCCACCTGGCCACAGCCTATGGCCACTACGAAAGCCAGGTGTGAGCCCAGGGAACTAGGATATGTCCTAGAGCAGTAGCTATAAATCAAGCCTGCACATTAGAATCTCTGGGTGAGGAGTGTTTTAAATATATTAATACCTGGCCTCTACCCTTGACCAGAATTAACTCAGAGAGAATCCCCAGGGTAGGATCCTGGCATAAGCATCATTAACAATTCTCAGGTGACTCTGAAGAGCAGCCAAAGGGCTGAGAACAAGCACCAGGGGGCGTCCCATGTGTCCTTTCTTAGCATAGCTATGAAGACAGTCACTGACCAGCATCCCTGGGGGTCAGGGATCCTTTCCTTTCTTGTTAGGCTGAGGAGGGACTCCTGAAGACTGGGGGCAGGGGACATTCAGCAGCCCATTCCATCCTCCTACTCTGCTGGCCACCTGGCCCAATATTTTTGGTCTCACTAAGACTAAGCCTTAGGCAAAACTTGTAGTTAAAGATGCCCCTAGGAGCTCTGTCTCTCCCAGAACAGGCAGGAGCAGAAGGAGGGAAGTGGAGAGGGCACGGGGCGATGTGCTTCTCCTCACAACCCTGAAGCCTGAGTCTAGGTCTAAATCTGGGATCCTACAAGAGCCAGAGGCAGCTCTGGGGCTACATAGTCATAGCCAGCTGAGCTCAGAGCTCTCGGTGGGAATGGAGTGAATGAAAGGCGGGAACATGACTGGCTATCCTGTCGGAGAGAGCTGGAGAACAGACCTTGAAGAAAAGAATTAGCATAGATGATCCTTTCGAACCCAGTGTCCAATGAATGGTAGAGATCCCATGGAAATGTGGACAGGACTATCCCTAGGAAGAATTTCGGCTCTGGTCCTGAGTCTAGGTAGAGATCCTCAGACCCGGCTTCCTGCACTCCCTTATTCCAAGAGGTGGTGATTTCAGGCCAGCCCTGGCCAACATGGTTCCTTCCTTTTCTGTCAGCACCCTCTCCTTCCTTTTCAAGCTACCCGTTGCCAGACACAGACTCATACAGTCGCACACAGACACCACAGCATCCACCTTGAGTCCCATTTCAACACAGCTCCCTTCTAGAGGCTTCCTAGAGATGTTTACAATTGGGTTTTGGCAATATCCTTGAAATCTCAGAGGAGAGGGTCTCTAGTTGACTTTCAAGCCAGGTTTAGGGGAGATCAGGGTTGGGGAGAGTAGAAACTCCCCTAGTTTCTTACTGGGCATCTTCACTTTGAAGTCCTATACACCCCTGAAGCTCAAAATGTCCCCAAAATGAACATTCCCTTCCCCCTTCACAAGTCTAGCTTCACCCTTTAGCCCCACTTGAGTTAAGAGTCTCTAAACTCCCAACCAAGGGGTCACCCTGGACGGGAGGGTGGAAGCCTTCTACATCCGCACTGCTCAATAGGGCCGCCACCAGCCACATGTGCTGCTGAGCACTTGAAATGTAGCTAGTGCGACCACAGAATCGAATGTTTACTTTCAGTAAATGTAAGGAGCTAGCCACATACAGGCAGGGGACAGCACTGCCTGTGCCCATCTTGTTCCTCCAGTCGGGGGCCATGCTGAGTAAGGTTGATCAAGAGGGACTTTCTGGAAGATGTAGATGTTGAATGAGGACATGGACAGAACCAAGGAGGGGCAAGGCCTGGACTGGTGGCAGGGGGCAGAGGATGGGCTGGGGGATATGAAAGAGACACAGCTGTCTGTGGGGAGCAGACAGTGACGAGCAGATGGAGAGGCAGCATTATTTGGGTGGGGGTGGGGAGGGGCCCATTCTGATTAGAGATTGGACTCAGTGTGAGTTTCTGTCCTTTCCTGGGGGGGATGCAATCAATCAGAGTGCACCCTACATTTCAAAGACCCTTTCTGCTGCGTGCAGGCTGAGGAAATGGGGTGTGGCCAGGGCTTCCGAGCCAGAGACCTGGATTTGAGTTTTGATTCTGCCCTTTGCTAGCTGTGGACTTTCCCTAGACTTTCTGGGCTTCAGTCTCCATATCTGTAACAGACTTTTTGTTGTGAGAATGCAACTAGATCATACATATCTGCCCCCCACACTGGTATCCACCATCGCTTCACTCCTTGTCTTTCTGTTCCCGCCCTTTCTCACTGACACCACTCAGTTCACCCCCTCATTACCCTCTACCCAGACGAGAGCCTCCTTTTTTTATCCTAAACCCTGCCTGAACCAATCCAGCCCTCCCCAAGAAGGACAGTCTTGGGCCCTGGGACATGGGATCATCTAGCCTGACTGCCTCCAGAAATGCAGACAGCCCAGTTTGTTCTCCTGGGTGGCTCCTTTGTGCTGGGAGAAGGAGACCATTGGTGGAACCTTCCCAGTTATGGGGCCAGGAAACCAGGAGTTGCAGGGAGGTTTGGCAAGCTGCATCAACTATTCAAGTGTAGGGCAAAAAGCCAAGCAGACTTCTGTGGCTGTTTCAGAAGGCAGGCAGGATTGCAGGGATCAGCAGAATGCTCCTTAGGGCTGAAAAGGCCTATGGACTCATCCTAGAAGTAGCAAAGAAATGAGGAGACTCAGGGGAGATGGTGTCCCGCTCCAAGCCAACCTGGGGGACTGAGCCCCAAGGAAAGAATAACAAGGACTGGCTGAGAGAGGGAAAGAAGCAGGCCTCTGGGCCTGTGGCAGGGAGTGGGGGAGAGGGAGCCCCAGGGCTCCCCAAACATAGGAATGGCAGCTCTGGTCATCTCTTCAGGAACATTTATTCCCTGCCTGCTCCTTTGGTCACCAGAAGAACACATCTCCATAGCCTACTATAGCCTGTCAGTCAGTTAGGACTCCAGCCTCCTCTAAACCCTACAGCTTTGCCACAGTACTCACCAGCCCCAGGCCCACACCATGTTCCCTCTTCCCATGATGCTCTGCGTCCCCTTCTCCTGGCAGTGCCGGTTGGGGTCCTATGATCCACCTTGACTGACCCTGCCCATGAAGCCCTCTCTGTTTGCCTGTCAAGTATGCTCCTGGAGGCGGCTGCTCCCTCCTGAAAGGCGTTCTGTCCCCACGCCCTGGGCAGTGAAGCTGAGAGAGCCGTTCTCCAGTCATTGTCCCTGCTGAATGCATTCCACATCACCATGTCCTGCTTGTCTCTGCATTCTATCCCATCCTCTCTCCTTGCCTCCGTGTCCGGGGCACAGAAGGTGCTCCACCCACGTTTGCTGAGTTGGATTATAGGCAGCAGGGATTTTTGCTGTGAGAGACAGACGGTAGGAGCCAGGCTGGGCTGAGGCAGAGGAAGGAAGCTGTGAGAAGTTGGGTTTAGTAGACCCAGGCAGGCACACTTGAGTGCAAATCCTGGTTGAGCCACCCACTAGTTGTTGGACCTCTTAGCCTAGGTAGCATCATCTTGCAGCGATAATGCTTATTTCTGGGTCATTATAAGGATTAAGTCCCATGCCATGCCAGCCTAAGGGCGAGGCAGTTAGTAAGCATTCGACACATTAGTGATGTGCACTTGCTCTGAAATCAGAGACATTTTTCTCTTGAGATAAGGTGTTGACAGCCCAGCCTTTGGGAGCCTTTGGTGAGGAGGCTCTTGGAAACCTCCACCTGTTTTCCTTTGCTAATGCATTCAGGGAAGGAAAGGAAGCTTCTCTTTCTTTTTTTTTTTCTTTTCTTTTCCTTTTTTTTTTGAGTTGGAATCTCACTCTGTCGTCCAGACTGGAGTACAGTGGCCGCCCCCAGTCACTGCAGCCTCGACCTGCTAGGCTCCGGTGATCCTTCTGCCTCACCTTCCAAGTAGCCGGAATTACAGGCATGCGCTACCATGCCCAGCTGATTTTTTGTTTTATTGTAGAGATGAGGTCTCCCTGCCCAGGTGGGTCTCGAACACGCGGGCTCAGGCAATCCACTCATTTCAGCCTCCCAAAGGCATGGGATTACAGGCTGAGCCACCGAGCCCGGCTTAATTTTTGATTAATTGTAGAGATGAGGTCTCGCTAAATTGCCCAGGCGGGTCTCGAACCCGTGGGCTCAGGCAATCCATTCACCTCGGCCTCCCAAGTCGCGGGATTACAGGTTGAGCCACCGAGCCTGGCTCAGGCTCTTTCAGTGCCTTGGTGTGGGCTGTGACACTGAGACCTCCTGGAACACACTGTCAGGTCGGGGCAAACCCCACTGCTCCATTATGACCGCCGAGAGAGTGGTGAGGACAATCCACAGCCTATTACTAAATGCGTGGGCCAGGTCCCTGTCGTCAACTTTTCTGACTCTGCAACCCAGAGCAACATCCGCTGGGGGGAGGGAGCCAGACAGAACTTGTCTTTTCTGGGGCAACGTCCTCCCTGTCTTGCTCATCTCATGCCTTCCTTGCCCTGGAGGCAGCATGGAGTCTGGCCTCCAAATGGCCCTCTTCCCACAGCTTGTACACTCCTAAGAACCACAGGACCGAGTGTCGGTGTTGGGCATGGTCAGGAAAACCCAGAAGCTGTGGAAGCCGTAGGTTTGTTTCTCCACAGCCTCTTGCCCCAGACCCTGCCCCTCCCTCCCATCCCCGAATGGTGCCACCTCTTCCCCTCACCCATGGCTCCCAAGATGCCAGTGAGGCTGGCCTCACAGACACAGTCCTGGGTCTCAGATGCCAGGTGTGAATGTGGAAGGAAGCCACAGGCCAGTGTGGGGTCATGCAGCATTCCCTATGGACGTGGGGCTGTCTAGGGCTCCAAATGGAAGTGAAAGGCCTCTCCAGGTCGGCGTTCTGGCCAGCAGCTCTTGCCCGTTCCCTCTTCTGGGACTACCCTGGACCTCTGCTCTGGTGAGGCTTTATTTGCTGTCCTTACCAGGTACCCCCTTCCGCTGTCCCCCTAACCTCACAAAGTCAGGGTGTGTCTACCTACACCAAAGATGGGCTGCTCCCCCAACTTCTTCCTGCCTCCCCTGGACCCCCAAAACCTGCCAGTGGTAGAGTCAGGGGTGCATGTTTGGCAGGAGAGGACGCTCAGGCACATGGATACCCCGGTTCTGGCCCTCTCACTACGCAAACTACACTAATAAATGCACCCCCGCTCTGCCCCACCACCCATCCGCTTGGGGGTGTTACCCTACTGGTCTTGTCCCAAACAATGTTTCCTCCTCTGTCTTGTTAGTTTTTTTGAGTCAGGGTCTCCCTTTGTCACTCAGGCTGGAGTACAGTGACACAATCACGGCTCATCACAACCTCAACCAACTGGGCTCAGGCAATCCTTCCATCTCAGCTTCTGAGTAGCTGGGACTACAGGTACACACCACCATACCTGGCTAAATTGTTTTTTTGTAGGAATGAGGTCTCATCATGCTTCCCAGGCTGGTCTCGAACTCCTGGGCTCAAATGATCCTCTTGCCTCAGCCTCCCAAAGTGCTGTGATTATAGGCATGAGCCGCTGCACCCAGCCCGCTATCTTTTAAAAAAGAAAATCTGACCACACTAGCCTCTCCCAATTGGTCAGGGCTGGTCAGGATGAGACCTTAAAAGGCTTAACTTCTGCAAGTGGAGCTCATAGGAATATCCCCCAACCACCCACCTCACTGGGGAGGTTAGGAGAAGCACACACTCTCAAGGAAGGCAAACCCCATGGTGGCCCCCTGCATAGGTGGGAACTCAAGTTCCTGACACAGCCTGGGGGCCTGAGACCCAAAAGGGCAGCAGCTAAGTGGGGGAGGGTTGAGTCAGCTGGTAAAGGAAGCCATGCAGTTCCTGGGGACAGGGATGGTTTAGGAAGAGACCCCAGGTAGGTGGGGATGCTGAAAATGTCCCCAAGGCAGTCCAGTCTTCATGTTCCTCCTTGCAGGCAAATGGCTGCAACTGTTCTGAGATTCCCTGGAAAACAGGAGCTGCAGTTGCTTCTTTCAGAGTTTCCTGACCACCTTCTTTACTGTTTTATTCCCAGTCCCTCACCTGGGACCTGGAGCACAATAGTTGCTCAATAATATTCACTGGGTAAGGCACAACAGATGGGTGGATAGGTGGATGAAATGACACAACTTCTTAGCCTGCCGGACTGCACACCTTCTCAGCTCCTGGGACCTTCCCCCGGCCACGGCCATCTGGGACTTGTCCAGGACCCACCTGGGGAAGAATAGGGTTTGAAGCCTCGAAGACGTGCAGTCCCATCTGGATCTGCTCCTTTGTAAATGCATGACTGTTTCTCATCTTGGATGACATATGCAAAGCGTCCAGCTGTGTCTGACCCTTGGGTGGTGATCCCCTGATGTGCTCTAGGAAAGATTGGGCAAGGGGGCAGTGCAGACTCCACCTGCTTAAACGCTAATGAATGCTCCTTCCATGGAAAGGCATTCTGCATAGCGACACAGGCACAGACTGAAACACAGGGAGAGAGGAGTGAATGAACATCGGAGGGCTTCCTTTCTCCCCTCACTGTCGAGAGAAAGGGGTCTTTTTCAGTGCCTTTTTGGAGAGAGCCAGAGCCTGGGCTGCCCCCTTCCACCTCTGTGCTCCCAGGTCCCCCTCCTCCCATTTCTTTGCCCCTGAAGTGCTGAGGGGGGAGGGGGTGGAGCCCAGCCCTCCCCCTGCCCACTCTAGCTGTCAATCTGCTGTCTGGCAGAAAGACTTGAAGCCTCCTGACAACTGTGGGCAACTTTCCCCAGCCCCGCCTCCCGCCCCTGCCCTACCCTCTTCCCCTCTACTCCCTGTTAGTGCTCTGGGGCTGGTTCCCCTCCCTCCCTCTCTTCTTCCCCCCTTTCTTCTTCTGGCTGTTTCCCTTGTGTATCTCTTCCAGTTCTCACAGCTGATAAACCTGTCTGCCCTCGTAAGATTTCTAACAACAAGATAAATCTCCAAGCTCCCATCCAGGTCAAGATCTGCCACAGACTAAGAGCATGGTGTACACGTATTTGTGTGTGTGTGTGTGTGTGTGTGTGTTTGGTTATAGGGTGCATATTAGCAGCTGAGAGGTCCCTGAGGCTTCTGGCCCCCTGGGGGTCTGACGCCTTCCCCGGGAGATAGGCACTAAATTATTGCCCCCTTGAGCTGAACCCTTGAGCCTACTTTGCCCACCTTCTGGAATCAGGGTGCTTTTGGGGACAGGAGCCTCTACCAGGGCTTAGTGCTACATGCAGGTTCAGGGAGAGGATCAAAGTCCATAATTAAATGTTCAGGGCAAGGTAAGTGCTCCAAACTTTGGTGCTAAAAATATTGTATTTAGCATGCAAATTATGCCCTGACAGCTCCCCAGAGCCTGAGTCCGTGTGGGTGCTGGCAGGTTGTTTGTCATCACCCCTGTTATTCTCAACGTGGTAAGAATATTCCTTCTTCACTGGGTTGATTTATATTTCATTTTTAGAAAGCCAAGTTTCTGCGGTCGGGGCAGGGCCGAACTGAAGCCCCAGAAGGCTTAGTCTTCAGGCCGAGAGGAGGGAGAACTGTCTGGGCTGCAGCACTCAGGGCTGTCCCTGTTCCCCTCGGCCTGCCCCAGAGCAAGGGAACCTTGACAGGAGACAGGAGACAAGGCAAGAGACCCAGACAGACACAGGCAATGCCTACACTTCAAAAGCCACCTTTGCCATGGAGCCTTCTCTGCCCTGGTGGGCCATAAGGACAAGGGATGGGTCCTTTGGAGATACCAGGACTGGAGAGGGGAAGGCGGAGAAGTGGGGACAGCCTGGCCGGCCTCGGGTAGGACCCTGCCAGTCACACAGGGTTTGGCTAGGGATGCAGGTAGTGCTACTCCCTTCTACCAAGGGCCCTTGAGAGCAACTCTTGTCAAAGTTTTATTAGTTTGGTGCATGGATAGTGATGTTACAGAGTCTGGGGCCTGGGGGCTCCCCCAAGCTGCAGCTTCCCCTCCTCCCTCAGGGCAGGGCCAGGCCAGGCCGGGCCAAATGGTATTCAGCAGCCTCTTAGCCATGGGCTCCTCTAAGGCAGAGGCAGTGGAAGGGAAGGGAGACCGGAGAGAGAAGAGGCCAAAAAGGAATAGAAAAGGGAAGTGGTTTCGCATCAGAGTATGGCAGGAGCCTCAGACGCCCCCTCCAGCCCAGGCCAGACGTGGTTCCAAGGCCTGGCCTCCCTGTCTGATCCCAGGCTGCTGGCATTTGCCACGAGAAGGGACACATCGGAGGGCTGGCAGAAGGCGGCCGGGCGGGCTGGGGCTAGGAGTTCCTCTCGCCACAGACCCTCTCAGGGGCCTTCGAGACTGAGGGTTTCCCCTTCAGAGTGTGTGGAAAAGGCAGGGAGGGGGAGCCATAAAGGGGTGAGGTGGATCAGGACCCACTGACGTGGAAAAGGAGGCTGCCGTTGGGCCTGGAAGGAGCAAGATTTTTGGTCTGGGCATCCCTGGGGTCCATCTTGCAGTCTGGAATATACATGGGTCTCCCAGGACTGAAGTGCTGTGGGACCTTGACAAGAGTGCTTGCTTCCCTCCCGTGGCCTATGGGCTGTGAATGGTCCATCCTTTCTCACCGCCAGCTCTAAGCCCGCCAAACAGAGAGCACTCGGCCCCATGACCCCCAGGAAGATCAAGGAAGGTGGCTGCATCTTTGGTGCCGAGGAAGGGGAGGGCTGAAGGTGGGAGGGGGACGCTGTGAGCCAGAGGATTCAGCCCCAGGGCCGGTACCACACCCAGCTCCCTAGCACTACCCTGGCCGAGTGAGGGTATGCAGGTAGCGAGGGGCGTGGAGCCAAGTGAACACTGCAGGGCCCGCCTGGGTGAGGAGGAGGCCGATCCACCCCAGGCCTTCCTGCCCACGGTTCACAGGGGTGAGGCCGGCCGGCCTGGGCAGGGAGACGAGAAGCAGGCTGCTATGCGGGCAGGTGGCAGTCAGCAATGGAGGATCTTCAGGAAGGCCTTGCGGAACTCGATGTTGAAGGTGGTGTAGATGATGGGATTCACGGCGCTGTTGACGTAGCCCAGCCACGTGAAGGCGCTGTACAGGACGGGCGGGATGTTGCAGTCACAGTGTATGTTCAGGATGTGTGTGATGAAGAAGGGCAGCCAGCAGATGATGAACACGCCTGGGGGAGAGGGCGCCGTCAGGCCGGTCCCCAGGGCTGGGGGATGCCCACGCCCAGAGGACACCCATGCTCGGTACACTTGGCTTGTGAGCTAGGACAGCCGGCTGCAGCTGCAAGAGCACTGCAGACAAGGCCTGGTCTTGGATTCCAGACCTGTCTCTGACACCCAATTGCAGGGAAGATCCCTGCGGCTCCCTCAGCCCCATTTTCCTCATCTGACAGGTGGAGCTAATCCCACCTACCTTCTAGGGAAGGATACTCGGTTTAAAAACAAATCCAAAAGGTTACCCTTCTGACCCAAGTCAGCCAGCAGATGGAAATATCTACTCTACATCAAGGTTGTCCTTGAGAACAATGTCTTCCCTGCCAGCTGGAGTGGAGGGAATCTGCTCATGGCAAACACAGTCTGGGGAAAGTTCTCATGGCATCTCTGCGAGGTAGGTGGGAAACAGGCTCCCAAGGGCTCTGAGATGTACCCAAGGCCACGTGCCCTGGAGCATTAGAGATGGGAGCCAAACTCCAGTCTATCCAGGTCCCCAAGTGGCTGAGCTCTTGGTCCAGCCTTCCCTTGATTTCTCCAGCTGCAATGGACACACACCTGGCTGGTCCTGCTTAGGGCGGACCCTCGGTGTGGAGGCAGCATATACACAGAATGCTCTACAGGCACAGGAGACGCCCAGGGGACTAAGCTGTATCTGGGAAGAACAGGGCCACAGAGCAGAGCCCCTATGGAGCAGCAGAGGGCCCGGCTCCAACCCATGTCCAGCCCCATGAACATAGGTGGTCCCTTACCCTGCTGGCACTACATACTGTCACTCATAAAACAAGGGCAGTCACCCCTGCCCCACTCATGCCCTGGATTGTGGGGTAGGTGCTCATGGAAGGCAGAGTCACATAGGACCCTGCTTTTTTTTTTTTGAGTTGGAGTCTCACTCTGTTGCCCAGACTGGA